TAAACACAAGACCAGTCAATCCTAAAAATCCAAAGGCATGCCAGTTAATTTGACCTACAATTGACAAGGAGAGAAAACTTATCAGTAAGTTAGGGTGGAACATGCCAGTGTTGCCCCGACAGTTCCAAGTATACTGCTTCGAGAGCAGCCAAACAGGGGGGGTCAACTAGATAGCTGATACGAGGAGAAATCAACTGTTAAGGACTGTGATGCTTGTGGGTCATGATTGATTTATGATAGCAAGTACGATGCACCTAGATATAAGTAATATAGAGAAAGCATCATCAGCTAGATAAATATTGTCGGTGTTTCGAGTAAGCACCGGCTAGTAAATTTGTATATTGCACGTCTGACCTGGATCGTGAGCTAAGAGGACATAAGGATTATACTGGTTCAGGCCGAATGTCCCAACGTCCAGTTTCGAGCTGCTCGTGTTACTAGCACTGAGTTTGTAGTAGGGGGTTACAAACTGGCGAGAGAGGGAGGTAGCTCCCAAGTCTCTGGATGTGATGCGGTATGCTTGTCCGACGAATCGATGTGCAATGAGTTGATCCCCTAGTGGGACGCCTTGCTTTTCCTTTTATAGACCAAGGGAAAGCAGGGGTTATAGCCAAAGGGAAGAGGAAAAAAGGAAAGAGAAAATAAGGCTCCCGATGATGGGCCGTCCTCCTCTTTGCGTGGGTCTCGCTGACCCTATAGATCGTGGAGACAGCGGCGTTGTACCGGGTCCTATCCTGTTGACCACTGCAGCTCACGTGCGGCGTCGTGCGCCATTCTTGTCTCCCATCCCGTCTGAGCGGACGGAATGGTCAGAGGGTCCCTTGACAGAAGCCATGCGGGGGGCTAGTGGTACAATGCCAGTCAACTGATGCCGGTTGACTGACGTTGGATGGTGGTTAGGTAGGGAGTTGGCAACACAGTGTTGGCCTGTTGACGCGATGGGCGACGTGAGTTTCCCAGCATGGCCCGATTCGACCGCCAATCGCATCAGGACACGTCCGAGACGTGCTCCCGGGTGTGCGCTTCCATGCTGTAGTGGTTGAAGCGGTTCAAGCCCTTCCCTAGGACCACTGCTTTGGTCTGGTAGCAGATCCGATCCCTAAGGATCAGGCGAGGTGGAAATCTCTCCCTGGGAGCCGGGCGAGGCGGAATCCTACCCCCAGGGGTCGAGACGAGGTGGGGCCCTCCCCGTGGGATTAGACGAGGCGTGTCCCGGCCCCTGGGGGTCGAACGATGCGGTAACCTCATCCTCGGCGTCGGACGAGGCATGGTCCGGCCCCTAGGGGTCGGACGAGGCGGAAACTTCACCCTCGGAGTCGGACGAGGCCATAGTTGCATCTTCAACCATCGGACGAGGCGACGTGATGCTCTTTAATCCTTTGGCTCGGATACCCAGGTATAGATATCCGACAGTAGCCCCCGAGCCTTCGGAGGAGTGAGACACTCCAAAGGCTTTTTTCGTGATTTGTTGCTCCTATGGCCGTTATGCCATGGAGGCGGGTTGTTATTGGAACTTTGGCATTTTTTCCTTGGTCGGTTAATCCGCGTAGGGTAACCGAGTAGGTTTTAGATACCAAGCCTCTATGTGGGATATTGGCAAAAACGGACACGGGCGCCCAGCCCCTGGGGAGGACACGCGCCGGTAATTCGTTTTCCACCGGGTGCGCGCGAGCGCACCTGGTGTGTGTAGCCCCCGAGCCTTTGGAGGAGTGAGACACTTCTACAATGGCTTTTTGTGGTCTGTTGTTTTAAGGGCGCACGGGAGTATTGTTTGTTATTGTCGTTTTGTAGGATGGCAAGTTGCGTATGGCACTCGTCGTTTGTCTACAACCGCGTGTTCGGTCTCCTTGCGACGCCAAACCCCCGAGCCCCTGTGCGTAGCAGGGGTCCGGCCGGGGGGTCGGTTCATCCTGTGATCGTTATCCCTCATGCGTTCATTCGCTAGAACAAAGGGGCTGAGTCAAGCCGTGCTTTCCTCGCTGGACGGAGCACGGTGCTCGGTGAGTTGTTAACGGGCTTGTTCGAGTGGAGCCCCGGCATCCCCTTCGCGGGGGCCCGGTTCGAGGTCAGCTGGTGACTGACTCCAGATTCTTGGTGGCTGGTTCATATAGTTTCCGGATCCGTTCGACCAGTCCGAGGGCTCGATGCCTTTCTTTTGGGGAAAAACCATGAACCTTGCATCATCCAAGACTCGAAATGAGGGTCGGGACGCCCGTGGCGCTTCATGCGCTTTGGGGACTAGCCGCTAGCGGGCCCGCTCTTAACCTCCCCTCACTCTAAGGTGCCCTAGAGCGACCATGAACCCACTAGTGGGCTAGCCTTTGAACTCCTAGGCGTTAATGGGCCGTAGGAGGGTTTTCAGCTCCGTATCCCTCTTACCTGCGGTGGCCCGTGGTCTTTGAAGTCGAACCGTCGCCCGGTGGATCCTTCGAGGGAAGATTGGGATAGGCGTGCGCTTGTCTCTCGAGGCGGTGAGGCGACTGATGATGCGAGAAATAATGAGGGCTCGAGCCCCGAAGGAAGCGGATCTTGTGGGGCATGTGGCCAAAAGTGTCCGTTTTCGCGTATAGGCAAGCTACACGTAGCTGGGGGTGTTGGGTCTATGCCTCTATTACACATTCCTCTCTTTGAGATGATCTGGGGGTTAGCTTTCAGGCTAACTATGACATCTTAGCACATGGAGCAATTTGCCAATAATTGTCCCACCATCGACATTGACTAAATTAATTTTCAGGAATGGAAACGTGCATACCATTTATTTGGCCAACCAAACTCTTTCCTTCTGTAAAAAAAAGAGGACTTTCGTTAGTCCCTAGCTTGTACTACAATACCACGGTTTCTACATTTGCTATTTTTTATAACAGCTTCTACATTTATAATTAATCATTAAAAAATATTATTTAAAAAAATTTCTTCTGGAAGAGAGGGAGGAGCCATCTCTCCATCGCCGGCGAAGGCGCCAGCTCCAGCCGCTGCACCGTCGTCGTCGATCGACGCTCGCTTCTTAGGCAAGGCTTGAAAGCGGCGGTTCTGGAAGAGAGGGAGAAGCCATCTCTCCTTCATCGCCGGCGAAACACAGGAATTAGAAGAGAGAGAGAGATAGACACAGAGGAAAGGTTTCAATGGGTTATTGGGCCTCATGTTAGATTTCCTCCAAATTTTCTCTGGATTCGGTCATTCCACAACAATTTTGTAGGAGTTCAAGATAACTAATCCTTTGTTCCACAGGCCGACCCGTTCGTTTGAACTTATCAGTCATGATACGGTATTTTTCTCTCACAATGAAACAGTATCAGCCGGCTTATCAGTCGAAAAAACCACTAGCCTCCATAAATCCTTCGTTCCAAAGGGGGCCTAGCTGGAATAAATATTTGTGCTATTGCTTTTAACTGTGCTCGATCAGTTTACTGTTGTCATCTTCCAGTACACATTACCAAGCGTCCAGGCTAACAATACATACGAAATTGAATGCGGCGTTACATGCATTTTAGGCCTGAGCTGGCTGCGATCCACCCGATTCGCTCCCAGCTCCGTCCCCACTCTCTCAGTCTCTGCACGCCGGCCGGAGCATCCCATCCATCCCAGTCCCATGGAAGAAGGCTAGGCAACAAGCCAACAATACATACGACATGCAGAGGCCAACAATACATACGTATGCCATGGCCACGGCCATGCTACGCCCACCGCAACTCTAGCCTGGTCTAGCTAGTAGTTATACGCCCCAACCTCACATGCGCCTGGAATCACAGCCTCAATTGCTGTGATGAGCTGACTGATTAAAAAGCGCACGTCGTTGATCGAGCATTCGAGCTACCCACTTATCAATGCACTGCACATGCATGGACAATGTCCTAATTTTGGGGACGGTATACATGGTGGCCTTGGAAACGTGAGTGCTCCAGCTGAAAACGATACCCAGCAAGCCCTATCGGGCCTATTCGGCTCTTGGTTTCTACAGCTGATAAGCTGGCTGATGCTGTTTTGTTGTATTAGTGAGAGAAAAATACTGTATCATGGTTGAGTTGCTCTGCAGTCAGTCGCCCAGCACTGTCGTTGAGGATTCGATCGCACAATTCAGGGTCAGTGCCACAAACAGAAATGCTCATCGCATCCTGACAGGCTTGGTTTCAGAGTAAAGGGCAGATGAAATGCCATGGACTCATGGATTCGTGAAAAGTTGCAATGTAAACACACAATATCAAATTTTAGTTGGTCGCAAATTTTAGTGTCATTCACGATCACCCCAACCACTCGATCACCTATCGGTCTCTGGGACGCCGACTGGTCGGCAATCGGCGCGGGTCGTTGCCGTCTAGTTGCCACATATCCTGTTGGCCTTCCAGAGACCGACAGGATACTATATTTGCTATTTTTTTTTATAAAATCTTCTGCATTTGCAATTATTCAATTGAAGTATTTATTTTAAAAAAATGGTCTTGTCGGCTCCTGAGATGCCGACATCTCTCCTATCGGCCTCTCACCTGCCGACTCGATGTCATACCTCCAATTTTTGTGTAACAGCTTCTACATTTACGATCACACGAGATGGTTTTCATGCGAACCTTGTCCAATGTGTTTCAACAAGGAGGTATTACAAGTCTAATATTCTGAGGCTGCTTTACATCATGCTGACCTCATGTAGAGGTGCCAAGAGTTGCACAAGTAACTTTTGGACACCCGATGGTTTACAAAAGGATATAAGGTACACTTTTGATACAAAGTTGGATAGGAATGAAGCTCTTACAATGGAAACATAGTGGAAATAGTCCCTAACAAATTTTAGCCAGGGTATGTGCCGTATCGTTGTACCTTCTTTCCCATAGCAAAATCCAATGCAATTGAGAAGCTCAATGAGACATTTCAGCTTGGGTAATATGCACTTCTTGCTGGTGTACCCCATGCATTTTTACTGAACAAAACGGATATGTGGTAGGGGTATCAGCTTCAAGCATTCCTTTGTTTCAGGTTGACGGCATTACAACAGTGCTTCGAGGTCCATCTCAACCAAAGTGCAGGGGTCCGGAAGTGCCAAATTTCCTTAGCACCTGCAAGCAGAGTATGACTAGCACTCAAGGAATAGTTTTGCTATAAATTTGGCAAAACAAATCACGTGTATCCATGTTATGATTTTCTTATTCATTTAATATCACTTGTGCTCCTAAGTTCTTATTTCTGCCAGTACGTCTCTTACTCTTAGTATAGATCAACTATGGAATTGGAGTAGCTCATAATTCAAGCGTATAAGATTGTGCTACCTAACAAAAAGAAATATATAATATTATGGTGCTAGCTTTATTCATTTCATCCTCAGAAATCTTCATTCATATGGTGGCCAAACTACTGGTACTTAAGCAGCACAGGTTATAACAGCATTCGAAAGCGAGGCAGAGTAAGTACCTCAGCATGGACAATTCCTAAGTAGCCAACTTGCTTGCCATCACTTGTAACAATTTTACATTGTCTTTTCGGGAAGAACTCAGGTTCCTGAAGAAATGAAATGAGTATATAAATGCTGACAACAGCAAAAGACAAGACAATTTATGAAGTTACTCTTACATCTGTAGGTACATAGTAATTCTTGCCAAAGTTGACATGCGGAGCTCTGACAACTTTGACAATACTATCCACCAATCCCATAATTTCCTGGACAATTTAATCAAGTTAGCATAGGCCTACATAGAAGCTATGTAAATACATGCCTATACAGATGTTTTTTTTCCCTTAAAGCTTATACCTCAAATCCAGAAACCCTATTGCAGTACAAAGCTGCAAGCCTGCGATTATTAGAGGCACCAACATCACGAGACGAGTCCAGCATCACAATGTCACCAACTTCAAAAATCTACAATGGTAAATATTTGAAAGATCAAAATCATGGGAACATTTCCATCTAGAAGGAAGATTGTAACCATGACAACAGTAACTGTTTGGGCATATCCAACACTAGAAGCTGTATTAAAGCTCTTCCATTTAAAATTGTATGTATTGATAAATTAAAGTCGACATTGGTAAAAATGAAGGACTAGATAGTACGTTCTGTCTTTCTCTAAACCCAAAATCCATTAGAACATTGACACATGGTCTCTAGTGACACTTTGACAGGTAATATTCTAAATAACATGTTGTTCCAAATAGAAAGAGCTATATATTATAAAAAGTATTTTTTTAACTAATCTAGCAACATAAAACTTATGTTACCAATCTACTTGATTTTTTGGATATTCATTGTCTGGGACTTAAAGGTTTTGTTGTTGTTGTTATTGTTGCATTGTCTATGTTTAAAAGGTTTGATCAAGAAATCCTAAATGGGCTTATACTATGGTTGAAATGTAGTATTTGAAGGAGAGTATTATCATGCAATCACAATTAAGTTGGAAGGGAAATGAAAACAACAGGCAAAATGGCACTGCTGAATGCTGACAGCAAGAGAAATTTGAAGTTTTTTCCCTGGTTTCTTCTTTATTTAGTTGGCATTTTATGTGCGACACAACATTCCATAGACAATATCCTTATCACTTATATACAAGGGGACATCCCTTGGTGTATGCTTTTCGCGGACGATGTAGTGCTAGTTGATGAAAGTTGGACATGAGTGAATCAAAACTGGAGTTATGGCGGGAGACTTTGGAGTCCAAAGATTTTAGACTCAGTAGAACTAAAACTGAGTATATGAGATGTGACTTCGGCACTACTACTCGGGAGGAGGAAGATATTAGTTTGGAAGGTCAAGTAGTGCCTAGGAAGGATACATTTCGATATTTAGGATCAATGCTACAGAGAGATGGAGATATTGATGAAGATGTTAGCCATAGAATCAAAGCAGGGTGGATGAAGTGGCGCCAAGCATCTGGTGTTCTATGTGACAAAAGGGTACCACAGAAGCTAAAAGACAAGTTTTATAGGACGGCGATTAGACCTGCTATATTGTATGGTGCAAAATGTTGGCCTACGAAAAGACGACATGTTCAACAGATGAGTGTCGCGGAAATGCGTATGTTGCATTGGATTTGCGGTCATACAAGAAGGGATCGAGTTCGGAACGATGATATACGTGATAGATTAGGGGTAGCACCAATTGAAGAAAAGCTTGTCCAACACCGGTTGAGATGGTTTGAACATGTCCAACGGAGACCTCCAGAGACACCGGTGCGTAGTGGAATCATAAGCCAGGATAGTAACGTGAAGAGAGGCAGAGGAAGACCGAAGTTGACTTGGGTAGAGGCAATAAAAGGAGACTTGAAAGGATGGAATATACCCAAAGACTTAGCCTTAGATAGGAGTGCTTGGAAGACAGCTATTCACGTGCCTGAACCTTGATTGCTTCTGCTGGGTTTCAACTCTAGCCTACCCCAACTTGTTTGGGACTTAAAGGCTTTGTTGTTGTTGTTGTTGTTGATAGGTCTTGGATGGTCTATATTATGTTTCAGTGTTTTCAATAAACACGACATCAGACTAGTTCTAACAACCTGCAAGGTAACAAGGAAAAAATTATTATAACAAACCAACAATATAACAAGTAAAAGAATGATTATAGCAAATGAATGACATTGTAGAACAATGTTTATTTCCTTGGCAATCAAATATAGAGAGAAAACATGAGTTGTCAGTAGGAGGACATTCGGTCAGATCAAATCAATGGGGTTCATCGGTTTTCCTCAAACTTCAGGTATCAAAAACTGAGTACTGATTGGTTCCTAAAAATTATCAAGATGAAGCAAATTTGGTCTCGGCCATGACTGAATTAACCAAGCTAGCAATACACATCGAAAAATAAATCACAAAATCACCTATGTAATATAATGGTAGATTTTTGTAAGTGAACACAAATGAGCATGATGAAACACAGATCAACAAAGGATGAAGCATAAATCATCAGCCGACAGCAGGGAGGAGCCGTTGCTGTCAGCTAGGTTTGACATCAGGTGGCTGGCTCGGCCAGCGGCAGCTAGACGTGATCACTGGCTTGGTCCTCGGGGACTGGGGAGGAGGTCGCCAACCATCGCTGCAGCTCGGAGGGCAACCTCATCTCCCTAGTCAGCCGCCTATCAACAGCTCTACATATGTGAGAGAAGGCGCGGGCCACAGGCAGGAGAAGGCAGACCCGCTGAGGTACTACCGAGTGGTCGAGTCAGCAGGAGGAAGGGGGCGTAGCAGCAGGCGCCTTTGACTCATCGCTATGTGCCATGATGCTAGAGAGGACAGGTGGGGTGTTGTGGTTGTGGGTGACCAGGAGGAAGTGGACGGATTGGGGCAGGTGGTGAGGAATCGTTTTGCAAGAAAGGCATCAATCAACCAAAAATTTACACTATTCTTTGCACTATAGTCAATTGAGAGCACATAGGAGAGCTGACTGATGGCTGCACCCAGCACTGGGGTGGGTGACGGGGGAAAATTTACCTCAAATTCAGAAGTGCGAGGGTTTGCGATAATGACTGCCTTACTTTTGTCCTCTGCTCTGTTTAACATGTCAAAGTTTTCTTCGTGTGAAGACAAGATAATGTGAGCACCTCCATATAACCAGCTCTTGCAACCTGGCCACAAAGGATTTTTCAGTAAAGATCAACTGATGAACAGATAAAAACACAAAGACATCAAATATCAGCAAGATGCCACAAAAGACATATCAAATACCTAAAGTACCTCGGCACGAATTTTATCTGAGAACCTGTTTAATGGTTGCCTTCCTCCTATTGTCATGCACTTCGGCTTTTATTTTGGCACATTGTTGAATCCATAAGTTATAGCAACGTCCTTTGTAGAAGCCAAACAGAAATTAAACCAGTTAACAATGACAGCAAACCTACAAAAACAGTTGAAACAGCTAGATAATAGCAGATATACCTCCGACAAATCACGGGCATGCAGAATATCACTTCTTGTTGGAGGAACAGACACTGAAATGCGAGGCTCCCCCTTCAATGAGTGACTTTCAGCTTGCAGTTGCATTTTATTCAAAAGACAGACAACCTAAGTTTCAGATGCACTGTTATTAATCCAGATTGAAAACATCCTTGCTAAAACTTTCAGAAACTTGCAGGTACCTGTTTCTCGTCCTGGGAGATACCAATAGGCCCAAGAATGTCAGATAATGAAACATCCATTTTGTAACATGAAAGATCAGGGTAAACTGTTTTCCTGCCATCATGATGTACCACTTCAACAGGTTCCACTTCAAATTTAGTCTCACAATACTTAGAGAACATGGTAACCTAGAAATATAAGTAACAAGTGCATATACAATAAGTTTCAGCTTCTTAAACTAGAGGACATATTCCCATCTAAAATACAGCATAACATCACCCACCATTGTATTCAGCACTATATTTGCTTTGGTAAGGTCAGTAGCTGTACATTCAATAAAGACATTCCTTGTTGCAAGGGTGATAGCTGAATGTGCACCATTGATGATAGGAGGTAATGATAATACAGGCCTGCAAAGTATTGCAATGTCACCTGTGCAGCGACACCGGTATTAACAGTTTCTATATCATAAAAGTTAAAGAAAGCATGGCACTCATGACGGAACATGGGCCATTTTATCAATAAAATGAATATATTTAAGAGAATAGCTTTTCCTTGAAAAATGAACAATGTTTTTTGAAGTTTAACTAGATAGACAAATTTCTAGAGAGCTGTGCCAACAGAATCTTTCTATTTAATTATTGTTGTCCTCTCTAGTAATTATTAGTCTTTTTCGAAAAGATCATAGGCCATGAAAGAAAGAGGTCAAGAAATGGAATGATAAGAGCATGCCATTATTTTACCTGTTGCTATCATAGATAACTGGGTACACTGGAGAATTTTCAATTATATGCAAGAACTTCAGTTTCATGTCTGACTGCCACAAAGCAAGAGATGTCAGTAATAAAAATATACAAGGCACAGAGCACCTAAAAGAATAGTATTAAGATCTAGAACCTATGATATTAAGCGTAAAATTTGAAAAATAACAGTTTCCATCCTGATACATGGCCCAATTTTGTGCACAATGACACAATAAACACTCTGATGTAGCTACTTACTTTATAGAATTCCATCAGTTTATCAGCTCTGAAGCTTTTCTCCTGAGTCATACAAAAGTTAGAACAGTGAGTTCAAAAATGTTGCCTTTCAGCAACTTACTAAAAATTGTAATGATGATCAGAAAACAACAAGTAATATAACATAAAATCATCTGATTGAACTAAATCAATTACTTTTACCTGCTTTAATGGGACAAAGCTGATTTCATGTGGTGGTAGAGCCTAGGGAGAGAGAAAAAAAATCAAATGTCAGATATAAAGGATGAGAGAAACCACCAGTGGTATTTATATAGCCACATGTCAGCAATGGTTATATCTTTGGTTAAAAACAAAAAATGTTATATTTAAGAGGCTTGTTCATATATGCATGGTACAAAATATAACATAGTCAACCAATTCCTAAGAAATCTATCTTCTCCGCCAAAAATATTGACCAACATAAATAAATTATTATAATGCCACAAATCTTAAGTTAAAACTCTTGAAGGTTCCTCCATGCTAAAAGCTAAATAATAGTTTCTTTATAATAGTTGGTTTGGATATTCAGACTGCAGTATACACCGATGGTTATTAATTTTCCTAGTCAAAAGGTTATTAAAATAACAATTTCTTATCACTTTTATGTGAAAAACTAGTTAATACTTTCATGTATACATGCTGTCATGCATTCTGAACAAATATAAACTTGAAAGCATAGGGATTAAGCTTCCTCCAAATTGTCGTCTTGGTAAGCTGGCCAAGATGAGTTTTCTATTATCCATACAAAAAGGGCTTGAAGCCGACCTTTGATTAAAATTCAAGGAAAATACATGTTTTTGTCTAGTGTCACTAAAACTCAAGATTTTATGGCCATAAATGCTTCCTGAAGCCCCAATGTAAACAAATTCAGTGGGGCACTATGTCACTGATCCAATCCCCGATGAGCAATCTGCCCCAACAAGGCAGCAAAACAAGGACTTCGTGGATGAAGCAAGACTCCAATCTCATAGACTAAATGACGACTTCCTAAACTGGATCCAGTCACTTTCCTAACTCTCTTCCCTGTCCTCCCCTGAGAGGAGCTTGTTTAGTTCCCTTCTCCATTTGTTCTCGTTTTTAGCTTTGTACTTTTGTTCAGTATATCTGTGCCTCTGTTATTTTAATAAAATTTGCAGTAGGAGCCTCCCCTGCTGTATTTCCTTTCAAAAGAAGAAGGCAGCAAAACAAAATAAGATTATATTGATTTAGGCTTTTGAGAGACCTTGTATGACCATAAGGGATCATGTTAACTGTGACTGGTGAAAAAAAGGATGGCTCTTTTCTGTGACTAAGATCATAGAACACATTTTACAGTCCAAGATTTACTCTAAAATTCCCTCAAGAAGGCAACACATTTGGCGAAGTTTAATCTGCAAAATGACTTTAGACAAACTCAAATTTCGCAAAAAATAAGATTCAAAACCAGTGGAAGGGAGCTTCTACACCACAATGGAGAAAGAATAAAATCAACCAAACAGGCACCAACATGTCCTTGCATTTATCTTTCCATACGATGGTATAAAAGTAATTGCAGTTAGTTCCCTTGATAGTGCAAGGCCGCAAGCACATATCATGAGACATAATCATTTGCCCCATTAAAAGGGGGAAAACTGGATGCACAAAAAAACCATGGAACAAACATAGGAACAGTGTGCAAGTCCATGACAGAGATTGCCATGAATGTAGGGCGAATAAGATAATACCCAAGATTGAGCTACAAAATTAGCTTACTGCAGCACTGTGATAATTTTACCTCATATGAGAAGGGTCCTTGACTCCTTGCAGAGTGTCCAGATCATGGGTGCCAATAGCAACGAGAGTTCTCTTCCTGTTATCCATCATGGAGTAGTCTGAGTTAATTAATCATCGTATTGAGTACAATCCTGATATCAATACAATGAAAATAAAAAAGCAATAAGATAAGCTATACCGGCAGATAGTTTGGTGGAGTTTGTCTTGAAGATCAATGAAGCTGTTGTATCTTGCTTCATCAAAAGTTACCCCTCTTAGGACAGCACAAACTACGTATGGTCTAATTTTTGAAGTCTGAAAAAAACAGCAAATCAAGGCTTACATTGGAAGAAAATAAGAACGCAAATAATATCATTCTGGAGAATACGATCAGCATCAACATTAGCAAATACAACACTAATCCGTTAATACATAGCTTCTAGAATTAGTAATAATAACAGGCAAATATGAAAATCATGAATATGTTAATGTCTTAACATTTAGCACCAGCTTCAAGCTATAATGGTTTTCACGATGATAATAAAACATTACAAAGAGCATGCACCAAAAATAATAATAATAATAATAATAATAATGGCATGGAATATGTCAGTAGGGTATTGCTTCTTTTTTTCCTTGAAAAACGACAGTTAAACACATCATTTCTCTATTACTCCTTAGACATAACAGTCCATATCCAATCCAAAAACCCAAAAAGAATCAACTGGTTCAAGAGCACTGGCAGGTTATAACATACACCAAACAGTGCTGCTGTACAATTTTCTCTACAACCTAGAGATGGAAAACTGAAGAAATCTAGCTTTTTCTTCTAGGAAATTATTTGAAATGCACTGCGAGTCCAAAGAACATGATCTTACCTCTGGTTTAACATGCATCTGAAGAATTGAACCACGAGGGATGGATGAAACTTGGAATACAGGGCTTGCTTCAGTCCCCGTGAAAACGCGGAGAGCTCTTGCTAATCCTTCAAGACATAGCAAATCATATCTGCATACATTGTTCCAAGTTTTCACCGGGTTTCCAAACTCCTGTATACCTACCTAGTATTCTAGTAACTTCGATTCCATTGACGAAAACAAAATCTGCTGACCTGTTGGCGGCAACCTCTATCTTGTAGATGACCTCGTCATCGTCGTCCACCTCGCCGTCGTCCTCGAGGTGCTTCTCCTTCCTGATAATAGCCTTCTCCGTCGTCTGCACACGCACCCCAAAACACTCAAAATTCAGACAACGCCACTCTCAGCACAGCGAGTGAATGGGAGGGGATACGGCGTCGAGCTCGATGCCGAACTCGAAGCAGAGCGCCTCGAACTCCTCCTGTGTTGTTGCCAAGAGGACGGGTTACGAGTTGTCGCGGAGTGGAGAGCTGGAGGAACTGAGCAAAGGAAAACGGTCCGACCGAGGACGGCGAAGAGACGGTCCCGGCCGACGCTCACCGTCGGCATCGCGGCTGCGGCGGCGGCGGCGGCGGAGGCGGTCTGGGAGGCCTTCGATGGGAACGAAATCGTCACTTCGCCCGGGGCGACGTCGGCGTGCAGTCAGGGCATCCCCACCGTCCGCTCCCATCCAACGGCAGCTTCTAAAACTCAGTTAGTAGGCCGGCCGCACGATATGCAGCCCATCTAAGCCCAACGACCCATCTAAACTCAGTCTTTTGATTGCTTTGGAAAGGCGAGTGCTTAGAATTGGCAACGATGCCCAACAAAGGAACAACAGGCCGGCCCCTGTTTGCTCAGCGCCAGCGGTCACCCACACCACTATCGTTCAGGATAGAACCAGATCACACGTAGAAATTGCTCGCCACATTCAGGTTCAGAGATGCAGAGTAGAGGGCAGTTGAAACGCCAATAAACTCTTGCCTGACCTCTCTGATGAAGAGACGCTCGCTAATGATGACCAGTCGTGTCATTTTATTACCAACGCGTGTCCGTGATAGTTGAATTGAACTGAATGCAAAGCTGAAAGCCTGAAACATGCATGTTTCATCTCGAATCTCTTTTTTTTCTGATCGATCAATCTGCAAGCAGTCTCTGAAACATGTTTCTGCCCCTACTAGAACGTACAATTTTAGCCGTCAACAATTAAGAAGGCATATGGATGCTACATTCACTCATGTAATGACAAGTCCACTTGGGAAGAGGTTGGTGGCCCACAAGTTCAACCACCTGTGTATGAAAAAAGGGCTGGAAGGCCACCTAAAGCTAGAAAGAAAGCAACACATGAAGTTGGTGGACCAAATGAGCCAAGACTAACCAAACATGGAGTAACCATGCATTGTAGTCACTGTGGAGAACCTGGGTACAACTCAGCAACCTGTGAGAGAAAGAAAGCAGGAGAACCAGCAGTGAAAAAATCAAGGAAGAAAGCTAGTCCATCTGTGCCAGATCAACATTCCAGCCAACAACCTGCCACTGTCCAGGTTTGTGCAAAACCAACCAAATGCTTAATTGGATGACATTATATGAAACTCATTTGTAACTTTCTTTAGGAGATGAACCTGCAAGAAAGTGTAACACAATCACTTATGTCAACTTTGGAAACCCAATGGTGTCACAACTGCAAGATGAGGCAACACCTTCTTCCTAGCTCCTAGCACTATTTTTTCTCCTTTGTAAGACTAATAATTGGATCCCATTGTTGAAGGCTACCCAAGCTGTGAGGCAAACTGCAGTAAGGCAACCTATTCCAGATTGTACCTACATCAGCTCCAATCTCCCACCAGCAAGACACATGCCACTTACAACAGCATCCAAGATTGTGAGGGCTAGCAGGGTACCTGCAGAGAAGAAGAAGAAGGCAGCCAAGGCCAAATCCAAGTCCAAGAAAGGGACAAATGGAGAGAAGTGAAGACAGTGTGGTGTCTTACTTTTGTGTAGCAGCTACTGTTTCTTTTGTACAGCAGCAATGGCTGCCTTTTGTCAAGCAGCTAAGCTTGTCTTTTGTGCAGTGATCATAGATATATAGATCATTTGCAATGCAAACAGTAGGATGGTAGAAGGAATGGCATAAACTATGGTATGTAACTGCAGTGACTGATAGTCAAAGAACTAATGGCCTAAGCTACGATATGTAACTGCAGTGACTAAATTGACAATGAAATTCTAGCGATCTGGTCTATGTCACCATGTTATCAACTTATGTCATTTGGTGTAAGAGAATTGCATAAAAGTTAATTGAAACATACTTGTATTGATACAAACTCATATTCCATTCATTGAACATGAACATGGTTATTACAGCTTGTAAACTGAAACATACTTGAACACATGGTTCAGTAGAGGTACTAAGCTGCCACTTCTACATGAAAAACATGGTTATTACACCCAGAACAAGAAAAACAGCAGCAACTACAAGGCACACTGCTACAATTTTTTCTAGGTCTACCAACTTCTGTAGCTTTTCAGCTACTCTATCACTTCCATTCTTCAGAGACACTACATCAGCAAGCAAAGGTGTCAATTCAGTCTTGTTTGCTTCCACTACTCCCTCTAAGCGTCCAATTGCAATCTTGATCTGCTCAACTTCATTCATGGAATCCTCCAGCCTAATGACGGCGTCAGCAGTCCCTCTCTTCTCCACCAATCCCTTGGCAATCAACAGCTTCTCATACTTGTCGGCAAACAAATACCAAGGGTGTAACACCCCGGTGTTATGACCAACATTTAGGCACTGTAAATCATACATACCATGCATCATCAAACATCATAATCATACATGCCTAATCATGTAAATAATAACTGAAACCCTGCTTCGAAACATGCTCGTGAAACATGAATGTTGCATACACTTGTTTAGAGTTGTTTTGCCATGATTATGCTTGCTAGGTTAGTAAAACATGTTTGGCTATAATTGTAAGTCATCTAGAATTAGTTAGCATAATTTTTGGAGCAAAGTTTGTATTCAAACTTTTGATAAAATATGCTTTTGAAATTATTATTGGAAAGGGTCAAAAATCCTCTCTATTTAGCTTTTGCTTACCAATTTAAAATCTATGCAAATTTTTTAGTTGGTCCCTAAAGCAAAGTTGTAGAGGACTAAATTCTAAGCAACTTTTATTTTTGGGCCATTTTCAAAAGAAGTCATTTTCTTGTTCAAAATGGTACTTGAAAACTGATATTTGAAAATTCATTAAAAATATAATTAGAAAAATTGTTTATCTCTTTCGCGGGCTGCCGCCTCCCTTCTGGCCCATCGGCCGAAGCTGGCCCAGCAATCCTCCCCGCACCTTTGCTTTCGCCTCGCCTAGCCCACCCACTGTGTCTACTTCCTCCCTCCAGCCAGCAGACGTGTCCGACCGCGTCAGGCATGCCGCGCCGCGTGGCGAGCGCATGCCGGCGACGCCGGCGGGGTGGCGTCCCGTGGCCCCCGCAAGCAAGCACGCCTCGCGCGTTTTCAAGCCACCGCAGCTCCGCTTCTCCCAGCACTCCTCATTTTCCTCTCTCTCACACAGGTCTCTGCTCGCCGCCCGCCAAGACCGAAGCTCTGCCATCGCCATCGCCATCGCCATCAGTAGCCCCACCGGAGAAATTGGCCGCCGGTGGTCCACCATTGCCCGCAATCGAGCACACATCGCTCCGCCTCGCTCCCCGGCACCTGGTGCTCGCTGCAGGGACATCATTTGAGCAAGGTATAGCGGCCTTGCGCGTTTTCGCCGTCATCGGTCATGGCATCGCCGTGCTTGGCCTCGTCGTGGAAGGGCTTCCTCCGTCCCTTCTCCATCCCCTTGAGTGACCCGCTCGGGTTCGCCATCTTCTTGCGGACCCAGCGCTCACGCCTGTTTGCCCGGTTGTGGTCGGCAACGGCCACCGGCCCGCTGGCAGCGGTCGCACCGCCGTGGCGTCTAGAACGCCGGCGTGGCGTGGCCGTCTCGCCTCGGCCGAGCTGGGCCAGGTCGGCCTTGGGCCGGAGCCCCGAGCCAGGCCATCGCCTTTCCCTCCGCTCGGTTGCGCAGGCCGAAAGCGGCCGTGGGCTAGTCGTTCCCATGGGCCGGCCCAGTAGTAATAGGAAAATTGTTTTCTGTTTTTCTTTTATTATTTGGGAAGAGAAATACTTTGGAAAATGTTTGTGTACTCATTTTGGCTCCAAATTTGTTGAAACAAATTTTTTTGTGTTCCTTGTCACCAGATCTACATGATAAAAATATTACATGTCATTTTTAAGATACTTTTCTGTAGAGCTTTATTTAATTCTTGATATTGCTGATATCTTGAAAAATGTATAGAAAAACCTATAGGCTTCAGAAAAACATGATTCCAAGTTTGTTAATCTTCTTATGTAATGTGCTTCCTAGAAAAAATATGTGTCATGCATGTGCTGTAGAAAAAATTTGAGGTGTAGTTCAAGTGCCTTTAATGGCTGATTTCTGTTAATTTTGCTAGAGAGCAAAATTTTTATAAAACATGCATGTGATAATTTTTGTACAGTGATTATTTGCTGTGTAGAACATAGGAAAAATATTTCCTTTGTTGTTTGACACTTTTCACAGTACAAAGTATTTTCATGTTCATAATCATGCCATAGCTTGTTATTTTTGTGTAGGCTAATCCACTCATTCAAATACCATGAAAATCTGATGGTAGACTACTTAGGATAGTACTGTGCTATGGTAATTTTCTAAGATTTTTCTAAGCAATAAAAATACATATTGCTATTCAAACCTATTATTATTAAGTAGGGTTTAATCAAGTGTTGCTTTATGTGTGATTAAGAACTTAGTGAAGCTTTGGTGTATCTTTGAAGCATTTAATAAGATGTGTTGACTTAGCATATTAGTAGTAGAAGAGAAGGCAGTAGATGACATGTGCTTGTAGTATATGTTTTTGGATGATGTTGACTACCTTGCATTCAACCATATCCATTGTATTCATCTCATCCGATGCACTGATTGCATAAGCACTTACGCGCATTGCATCATACAGGATCGCAAACCGAGAACCCAATCGTCATACCCGAGGAGCCCGAGGAGCAGCTCGAGGTGCAGCCGCAGGAGGTGCCCGAAGCCGACGAGGAGGACGTTGAGGAACTTCTGGAGTGCCCTGATCACCGCTCGAGCTCCTTCGAGAGAGGCAAGCCCCGGAGCATTTTCTCCCCGGTTTGCAATTATTAATTAACTGCTTTACTTTAATTGATGCATTACGTTCAGGTGTTGTTTGCAACCATTGCTGCATTATACCTTGTCTATCTTTGTTATACCATATCCTTATTACCCTGATATCCGTAGTCGAGTCAATGCTTAGCTGGCTTAGATCGGTAGAAGTCGGGTGATTTCCTGTCACCTACGAGCTATAGGTGGTTACCTGGATCTGCTTGGATAACTATGTAGTCATGGTATAACTAAGTGTTAAATGAAGTTGAGACCGGACGGAGACTTACAGAGTTTTGAACTGTAGTGTTTTCCGTCTGTGTCGATTAAGGACCGACCGTTGTTGGGCCTCGAGTCATGTTG